TGGATGGATGGATAGATGGAACATGCAACCTGATCAGCCACTGAAAGTTGGACTTGTAGGGCTTATGCTGTAAATAGGCTATAAGCAAATGTCTATTTAAGAGTCAAAAGTAAGGAGGTAACCTTCGTGAGCCTGAATCCAGAAGCAAGTATATGTATGCTTTCTTTTTTCCCCTCCCAAAAATGTAAAAAGTTTTATGGACCATGGATTCTGATGCTGTATATGTGAATAAAAAGACGTTTTCCCCCCACAATGAAATGGAGGGAAAGGTGCATTTTACTGGGTAAACGTTTAATATTCTTTTCGAAAGTTAATTGTCATGAAGTGACATACTAGAAGATTGTACGCCGACACAGATACGCATACAGCGGCAATGGCAAGGTAAAAGTAACCTAAAAATTAATAACTGATCAATAGAAACCAAGAAAGATTTGGAGAAATTATACACAGAGCAACATCCCAAATTTCAACTACACTGCTCTGCTGCTTCCTTCCTTGCTTCGGTCAGCATTCGAATTCATTCATTTTCTCCAAATATATGCCATGATTTCATTGCTGTAAATCCTATATTCATTTCCTTTCAGTATTGTATAAACATTATTAACCAAATCTTATACCTGGGAAAAAAGCAACAACACACAATATCTTGGTAGATTCCAGATGTTGGGGATATAGGCATAAGAATATTATAAACAAATCCTTTATTGTAGCCGCTGTTCAGCGTGGTGTGCAGCTTCATACAAAAGATAAAATGCAGTTTAAGAAAAAGAAAGAAATGACTAAATCAGCATATAAAAGTACACATAAAAATGGCTAAAATGTGAGTACAGATATTGCTTAAATTTTAAATCACTATTGGCCTAAAGTGTTACAGTATCTACTTATTAAAATGTTTCACTATAAATCAGTAATGTCTCATTCGATGGGAAGCTATTTGGCTTTCAAGAAGAACATAGACAGGTAGTTCTCAACATATGACCACAAATGAGCCCCAAATTTCTGTTGCTAAGGGAGACAGTTGTTAAGTGAATTTTGTCTCATTTTTGTTCATTTTCAGTGATAAGACTTCCATGCGTATGTAAATAATCATTGCTCTTTTCTAGAGGTTTTGTTTCCTAATTCATATTTATTCCTGAACAATTAGGTGCAAAATTTAACCAGAGAGATTACAATGTTTTAAATTGTATGAGTTGGAAATTTGCCGTCCTCGGATAGATCTCTCTTTTTATGTTACTTACCTTGGAATTTGAAATAAGCAATGATATCACTCGCTGTCCTCACCTGCTGGATGAAAGGTACTGAAGAGAAGTTGGCTGATACAGGTTAACAGAGTTGGAAGGGACCTTGTAGGTGGTTATCTAGTCCAACCCCCTGCCCAAGCAGACCCTGGCTCCATTCAGGGACAAAACTGCAGTTTTGTAGATCTGTGAAATACTTCAAAAATTCTTCAGCCAGGAAGATTTGATCACTGCAGAATTTTGCTTCTGAATGGGCACTTAAGGAAATGCGAGGAAAAAAATAATTCAAGTTAATTTTCCTGTGGATTCAAGTGACGTATGATTATTTTATTTTTTTGAAGGTGTGAAGATCCTGAAAACTCAGATTTGCTGAGTTTCTGCACCACCTTGATTCCTGAACATAGCATTTGCTAGTATTTGTCTTGTAAATCAGCAGAAGGAAATTGTTCCTCCGCTTGCTTTAGCAGTACCAAGGCTGGACAAAAATTGCTGTTAGCAACCAGCTGCTCTGGGTCACCACATACATTTCATCCTTCTCTCCCCAAACCTTTTTGATCCTCTGCACAATTGGCCATTATCATTCTTGCTTGCATAACACAGGATAGACCCGATATTTCCATCCATGTTTTTGCTCACCGATCTGCCCGTTTTATTTAGCATCTCTTTCCCAGTCCTTATTTTTCAAAATGACCTTTTTCCTCCTCCTGGCTCCCAAGGTTGCTCTCATGCAAAGAGATGACAATCCCCCACAGCACTTAACATCAAACAGAGTGCACTGGGACTGAGTTTAATTCAGCCGTACACTGAATTCAACCCCTTTAGGACAATCTGTCCCTGAGCATGGAGGAGGGGGCGGGGAAAAACCCACTGCATCCTGAGTTGGGATATGACAGCTATTGCCATGATGACCTTGGACATTGCGGTAGAGACAGCCTCCTGTGGTGAGGAAATGAGAACTGGCCTCTGCTCTCAATATTTCTGGGTCTCTGGGATACTGTAGGTCGACATGTGGAAAAAGGGAGGGGGGAGGGGGGCTTAAATAAGACAAATTGGCTAAGCCACCTGAGATTCGCTGGTGGGACCACCACAAAATGGTGGCTTTGCAAGCCACCCTTTGCAGCCTTGGGGGATGGCCAGTCTAGAGAAAAGGAAGACTAGGGGTGCTATTGCAGTATTTGAGGGGCTACCGCGAAGAAGAGGGGCTCAACCTATTTTCCAAAGCACCAGAAGGCAAGACAAGCAGCAATGGATGGAAACATAATACGGTTGCAAGATGAGGATGATTTATAGTATTTGGTATCAGTATTCAGGTGCAATTTAGTTTTTCATGTTTCATGCATCCAGTTTTGGTCACCACATTATGAAAAAAGATGTTGAGATTTTGGAAAAAAAGTGCAGAGAAGAGCAACTAAGGTGATTAAAGGCCGGGAGACTAAAACATATGAAGAACGGCTGCAGGATTTGGGTATGGCCAGTCTGGAGAAAATAAGGATTAGGGGTGTCATGATAGCAGTCTTCCAGTATTTGAGGGGCTGCCCCAAAGAAGAGGGGGTCAACTTATTTTCTGAAGCACCAGAAGACAAGACCAGAAACGATATTGGAAACTAATCAAGGAGAGAAGTAATCTGGAATTAAGGAGAAACTTCCTGACAGTGAGAACCAGTGGAACTACTTGCCACCAGAAGTTGTGGCTGCTTCGTTACTGGAGGCTTTTAAGAAGAGACTAGACAGCCACCTGTCTGAAATGCTATAGGGTCTCCTGCTTGAGCAGGGGGGGTGGACTAGAAGACCTCTAAAGTCCCTTCCAGCTTTATTCTGATACATTGGCTTGGAAGGAAGACTTTCTGGGATCTGATATATGGGGTTTCCTTTAGTTTCTTCATTGTCGTTTGATTTCGAGCACGTTGCAGCTCACTGCAATCCCTGGGGCAGAAGCTGGATCAAGCATAAAGGCGAAGATAAGCTCAACTGCTGGTAGATCATTTTGAATATATTATCATGACTTTCGGGCCTTGGTTCAAATTAATCTCTCATCCCCAAGGTGTTGCCTGCATCGCCTTGCCAACAGGCTTCACAAATAACCGTCTGCAAATTTTGAATTATTTTTTTTCTTGCTCCTCAGATGACGTTCAGGCTTAAATGATGTCAGCTCACCGCTCTGCCAAAGTATCTCTGGAAGAGGAGCAACGGTTAATCCTTTCTCTAATTCTTCTCATATTTATTTGCACAGCAGTTTGCCCTGAAGTTTTGCATTTTTATTTATTTATTAACAACGCAAGTAATTTATCAGCAAATGAAATGGCACTTTCCCAGAGAATTCTGGTTCTGGAGCAGATACCAAAATCTGTCATAAAATGAGGAGTTTTTCTCCCTCCCCAGCAGCTCAGTTTTTGGTAGCTTTAGTGGGTAGCAAAGTCTATAATGAGATAGAACATGATCCATCAGAAGCAATTCCTACAGTTTTAAAATTGGGATGAGGAACAAGGACCTACTGTAGAAATTTTCTCAGTTCTGGTTAATATCTACAGCCACTATACTGGACTAAATCAGCAAAATCCAAATCTTTGCTCACTAGGGTCATTCCTAAAATTGAAGTGGCTTTTTTTTTTTTTTTTTTTTTTGGCAAAGTTGTATAACAACACAGATA